CACTCTCACCAACAGGTTTTCCCCTCTCCCTTTACTTTGGACTCAGGAAACCCAAAGAACACCACAATGTTCATGCCCCAGGGTGCTGGGTTATACATTTGGGTTTTGTGGGATAAAACCAATTGTTTGTCTGTATAATCGTACTTATTGTATTATTTTATTAAATTGTTATTCTGACTTATAATCTCTCTTTTTGAGTTGGGTTCATTTCCCCTGCCAGTTTACCTCTGAATCAGTACAATGATATAATTAAATAATAATAATTATTATTATATTCATTCCCCAGTCACCTTTAGGGATTTTTCCCCACTCATAATAGTTTCAATTTTTTTTATTCTTCTCTAGTACATTCAGGAAGACGGAAAGGGGTATCTTTCTCCTCACATAATCAAGCATCTATATTGTTTTTCTATAATTATCATTAGCTTGTATCTGAGTGCCAAGTAAATGAACTGTCATTTTCCTGTACCCTGTTTAAGTGCCAAAGTACTAAAATTTTCAGATGGTGAAAGGAGCCACTGAGAAATACTCAGTCTAAACCTGCAAGTGATTCAGTGTGGGACTGTTCATTGGAACTTGGTAAGTTCTGGCAAGAAGTTTTAAGAGAACCCAAGAAGTATTTTATTAAAATGCACAGTCTGACATTTGAGATTTTAAGCAAAGTTCTTGCAAGGTTTTCTTTGACCTTCGCAAAAATAGCCTCTGCAGATGCATTCTGCTGGGAAAGGCTTTCCTGCTTCCAGATTCCCCCAAACTTTCTGCTGTACAGAGATCTGAAGAAAACTAATAAATGGTGGATATTAGCTCAGACGAAGAAGTTGTATGTTTGCTCTCTGTTGAGGCTTACTCATATACATAATAATACTTACTAGACTCTCAAAATATAATATGAATCCTGAACTGTGCAAAAATAGAATTTCCCAAGATGCTGTAGGAAACATAGTGTGGCTATCTTTTAAAGCAAAAACATCTAGCTCTTTAACAGCTAATTTACAGGAACATGGGAGAGGGATAGTGATACTAAGTGATAATAGAATATATATGAGGTGGTATGATGTTTACACTGCATTAGAGTGAAGACTTTTAAGACTCCAATGGTGAAGCATGTAGCAGACTGCATGTAATTATTTTAAAACAAACATAATTATTTCAGCTGATTTTGATACAGGGTTTATAGGAATTGAAGGAGAAAAAATTCACACATTTACAGATACAGCTATGTTTTTCAGTGGAATTGCAGTTTTTAATTGCAAATCTTTTCAGCAAGTCAATCTGTGAAGCTCCTTTTAAGTCAATAGAACTACACTGATTTACAGAGAAGTGGTCTTGTATCTTTGATCTCCCCCATGTTCCTACACAGATATTTTTCTCCTTCTTCTGTATTTATCATGACAGATTTGTGTCTGCATCTTTAAAGTGGCATTTCCTTGCTTGCTTCTCCCTGTAATTCCTTACCTGTAATCTGCTCTTCTGGTGTATTGACCACAGTGGTTTTCTGACAAAGTTCATTAAGTGGTATCATCTCCTTTGTACTTGAACAGAAGTTCTCATTGAGAGGCTTTTTCCTTGGAGGTGTTGTAACATGGTATCAGAGTTTAATTACATTACTCTTTGTCTCCAATTGTCCAGGGAGTGACTACTTGATAAAGTTACCCTAAATCAACACTTTTGTTTGTGAGTTGCTGTTGCAACTCACCAACGGACACATGCTAGTGATGAAGACCAAATTATCTCCTTCATGACTAAATTTCGTTCTTGTTATTCATTCACTTGAATAGTATGAGAACCAAAATATTTGCTAGGATAGGACCATGTGATCAAGACAGAGGGACTGGACTAAAGCAGGACCGGAGAAGAGATAAATGTCTAATTCAATCCCTAGGCAAGAGTAGTACGTTTTGGGCTCCAGTCTACTCAGAAATCAAAACAGATTCAATTTTTTGAACAGGCAAGTTATCTCAGAACCTCCATGTCATAGGTTTACTTGTTATAAAATCCAAGTAGGAATTTTTCTTTTCTCTGCCTCGCTGTAAAAGAAAGATGTTGAACAAGGGAGGGGGAAGGGGCGATTGATCTACACAAAAGAACTAATTGGCAGAACTGCATTCCAAGCTGGCCCTCCTAAGAACTGTGGGGAGGAGTGATGAGGTTTCTTCTTTCTTCACTTCTCTAAAATGGGACTTCACTTTTGCCTTAATTCAGGCAAGATGTGTGTGTTGGAAAAGCTCCGGGGTCATTTTTGTTCTCGTCTGTTTTCTGGTCCCGACTTATCTGTGCCCTGTTCTACCCCCAGCCCAGACCTCCTCGGACTTCATTGGAGAGGTCTGACCCATCTGCAGAGGAACCTTTTGGGGAGGAGGTCGCCCTTTTCCCTCCTCCACTCCTGTGTGCTCATCGACAAAGGGGGATGAAAATCCCAGCCACAGCCAGCCACAGACAGCATGAGTTTTCTTGGGAAGAACCTGCCTTCTTTCTCCTTTTTGCCCTTCCCCTCTTCGGTGTGTGTGTGTGTGGGAGATCTCCATTTTCGGCTTCTCCTGTGAACCAGGCCCCAACACTGTGACCACCAGAGCCCAACAGCGCCCCCTGCTGACCGTGGTTAGAATTGCACCAGAAAAGCAAAAAGTACTGAACTGTTTCCCTTTTTGAGGGGGATTTTTTGGGTACAGGATTATTGTTTTAGTTGTTTTTGTGTTCTTTTGTTGTTCTGCCACATATACACATATATCCTTTAATAAAGTGCTGTTATTCTTTCCTTGCAACAAACTTGGGTAGAGCCCTTCCCAAATTTTCGTTCGCGAAGCCTAGCCACGATGATGTTGTTCTTTCCTTTTTCCATACTTCCTCAACTGGAGCCTCTTAATTTCGGATTTACAATTGCTTAGAGGGAGGAATTTGGTCTTCCTCATAATTCAGCCTCCTTAGCAAAACACTTTAGTCCATTAAACTGAGACACTCTGCTGTTTAAAGTTATTTTATCTGCAATAAGATGTATAGTAAGTCCAGCTCTCCTGATGAACCACTTCAATTCACTGACCAAGCAGAAAATTATCTGTAGGGTTTTGAGCCTTTTTTCCTGTGTTAGTTTTTCTGTAGTTAGTTTTTACTTAGTAAGATGTTTTGGTTCATGGACCAATCAAAAAAATACCAAAACTTGTACACAACAAGATGTATTTCTTTCTTTACAACAGCAGAAAAGTAGAAATAGATATACTATCTAACTTATGCAAGTACAAATTTTTCTTTCTGATCATCACTTTCATCTGATGGATCTTTGATTACTCTGCTTTATAAAGTTTAGATTAAGGGTTATAAAGCACAAAAGGAGTGTAACATTGTAATATAATCTCAGGTGGAATAAGCCTGTGGGATCTGATGTTTGCTCAGGTGCAAACAAAAGCAATTAGAGTAATTCTTTTCTGTTTCTAACTGATATTGTTCTGTATTATGGAACGGTCAAATACTAAAGTAAGTACAGGGACAACTATGAAATATGAAATTGATACAGTGTGCAATTTTTTGAGGAATACAAATATTGACACCATTGTTCATTTTTATTCAGGTCATATTTCTGATTGTACTTATATTGTACTGATTGTACTTCTGATTGTACTTTTATTTATTAATTAATCTGTTTGTTTATTCATTCATTTATTAATTGGAATAGTTTGGATATAAATTCTCGTATTGTTTCATTTGTTAAACTTCATAACTGATTTAATTGGACAAAATTCTTGTTTTAGAATTCATTCCTTCCTTTACCAAATCACAGATTATCAATATAGAGAGGTGGTCAGAGTAAGCAGAAATGAAACAAAGCCAAGACCAATCTGGAACTAAATCTGACCAAGAATGTCAAGAATAAGAACTTTTTCAAATGCATCAATAACAAAAGGAAAACAAAGGTTAATGTAAGACTGTTACTAAATGGAGGGGTAATCCTTGTAGAAGAGGACACAGAGAAGGAAGTGTTATTGAATGCCTTCTTTGCATCAGTCTTCATTGACAAGGCCAGGCCTAAGGAATCTTTGACCCAGGTGACCAAGGTAAAGGAATGTTGGAAGAAGGATAGGAATTAGAGAACACCCAGTCAGACTTGATGTCCATAGGTCCATTGACCATGATGAGATGCATCCACGAGTGCTGAGAGAGCTGGTGGACACCATACCCAGGCTGCTCACAATCATCTTTGAAAGGTCATGGAGGTCAGGAGAGGTGCCTGAGGACTGGAAGAAAGCAAATGGCACCCCAGTCTTCAAAATGGGCAAGAAGAAGGATCCAGGGAACTACTGGCCAGTCAGTCTCACCTCAATCCCTGAAAAGGTGATGGAACACCTCATTCTATAGGCCATCAAGGATGACAAGAAGGTGATCAGGAGCAGACAGCGTGGATTCGCTGAAGGTAAATCATGCTTGACCAACATGATTGCCTCCTACAATGAGACAACTACCTGGATGGATGAGGGGAAAGCAGTGGATGTGGTCTATCTTGACTTCAGCAAGGCTTTTGAGTCTCTCATAACAACCTCATAGGCAAACTCAGGAAGTGTGGACTGGATGAGTTGACAGTGAAGCGGATTGAGAATGGCAGATCCCAGACAGTTGTAATCAGTGGCACAGGGTGTAGTTGAAGGCCTGTCACCAGTGGTATTCCCCACAAAGTTCAATACTGGACCCAGTATTGTTTAACTTATCCATCAATGACTTGGCTGATAACACAAAGCTGAGAGGAGTGGCCAACACCCCTGAGTGCTGTACAGCACTTCAGAAGGACCTCAAAAGGTTTGAGGGATAGGCAGAGAAGAATATTCTGAAATTCTACAAGGGCAAGTGTAGAGTCCTGCACCGGTGAAGGAATAATCCCATGCACTGGTACAGACTGGGGGCTGACCTGCTGGAAAGCAGTTCTTTGGTGAAGGACCTGGGAGTCCTGGTGGGCAACAAATTTCCATAAGAAAGATATAAAGCTATTAGAAAGCATCCAAAGGAGGGTAATGAAGATGGTGAAGGACCTTGAGGGGAAGCAGGATGAGGAGTGACTCAATTCACTTGGTCTCTTCAGCCTCGAGAAGAGGAGACTGACGGGAGACCTCATTGCAGTCACAATTTCTTTGTGAGGGGAAGAGGAGGGGCAGGCACTGATCTCTTCTCTGTTGTGGCCAGTGACAGGACCCAAGGGAATGGCCTCAATCATAGAATCACAGAATCACCCAGGTTGGAAAAGACCTCAGAGATCATCAAGTCCTTGATCCACTACTGCCGTGGTTACTAGACCGTGGCACTAAGTGCTACATCCAGTCTCATTTTAAAAACCTACAGGGACGGAGAATCCACCACTTCCCTGGGCAGCCCATTCCAATGCCTGATTACCCTCTCTGTAAAGAATTTCTTCCTAATATCTAACCTAAACCTCCCCTGGCACAACTTAAGACCATGCCCTCTTGTCTTATGATAGTTGCCTGGGAGAAGAGACCAACCCCCTGGCTCCAGCCTCCTTTCAGGTAGTTGTAGAAAGTGATGAGATCTCCCCCGACCCTCCTCTTTTCCAGGTTAAACAACAGAAGTTGTGTCAGGGTGGGTTTAGATTGAATATCTGAAAAGGTTCTTCACCCGAAGAGTGGTTGGGCACTGAAACAGGCTTCTCAGGGAAGTGGTCACAGCACCAAGCCTGTCAGAGTTCAAGAGGTGTTTGGATGATACTCTTAGGCACATGGTGTGACCATGGGGATGACCCTGTTCAGAGTCAGGGGTTTGACTTGGTGATCCTTGTGGGTCCCTTCAAACTCAACATATTCTGTGATTCTATTCAGCCCTAGTGAAACCACATCTGGAGTGCTGCATCCAGTTCTGGATTCCTTCCAAGAGAGGCATGGAACTACTGGAGCAGGTCCAGTAGAGGGTGACAAAGGTGACTAAGGGACTGAAGTATCTCTCTTATGAGGACAGGCTGAGAGAGCTGAACCTGTTCAACCACATGAAGAGATGATTGAGAAGGGATATCATCATTGTATACAAGTATCTGAAGGGAGGGTGTCAAGAGGATGGAGCCAGGTTTTTCTTGGTAGTGTCGAGCAATAGAACAAGAAACTAGGGACAGAAACTGATGCACAGGAAGTTCCACCAAATATGAGGAAGAAATTCTTTACTGTATGAGTGACCACGCACTGGAAGCCCAGAGTGGTTGTGGAGTCTCCCTCACTGGAGTTACTCAAGAACCATCTGGGTGCAGTCATGTGCCATGTGCTTTAGGATGGCCCTGCTTGAACAGGAAGGTTTAATCAGATGACCCACTGTGGTCCCCTCCAAATTTATCCATTCCATTATTCTATGCACAAGTGCCAGCAGAAGGGTAGGAAGCTCATATGGATCAAAACTTCCCATGAAAGGGCAAAACCTCCACATCCCATCACAGAGAGAAAGCACTGTGTGCTTATGAGGTGCTGTTGTGTCATTTTATCATCTCCCTTAGACTGATGCTCACACCTTCTCTTCCTTTCCAGTGCCCCACCCTGCCCATAACTTCTTTTTGTCATACTTCTCTCACAGTCCCAGATTGTTCCTCTCCTTTTCTCACCATGCTTAGGATCCCTCTGTAAATATGTTTTACCTCCAAGAACTTCATACTCACCTCTTTTGTGTGTGTGTGTGATGATGTACCCAAGCAGTTTCATTGTTTGAAAACAGATTAAAGACCTTCTGAATGCATCTTAGAAGCAGAAAAACAACTCACAAAATGAAGCCAGAACTAGTACAAATTGAATAGAAAACTCAACAGGAAACCACACGTATTGTTCAACTCTATTCCAAACTCAGGTTCCAGTTGACTGTACCCATGTCTGGTGGGTGATGGCTGATCTGAGCTCAGTGGTAGACAAGTGTATTACCAGAATACTCAATTCAAATCATGTGTGTTCAGTGAAGTCTTTTGGACAACAGAACTAGTCCCTGAATAGCTCAGTTTTACTTACCTAAAATATATATTCACACAGCTACATCTGTTGCACAAATCCTGCACATTGAGGCATTCCCTTCAACTCTTTGCCCTTCTAAATCCACCAGAAATAAATGTTTGAGCAACTGTGGCCAACCTGACCACACTGAGAGTGCAATTACTTCCTAAGACACAAGGGAGAACAAAAAAAATAGTGAAAAGGGGTAGGGGTTTTAAAAAGTGTTTTATTTGAACTGTATTTCCTCAACTGACACAATATTTGGACCCTTCTACTCTAAACCTTCCCAAGATAGACTAAATAACATCATGGACCAAAAAGGGCATGATTTGAAGGTATTGGGCAAGTCACTTTTAAAGTGAAAGTGTCTTCAGCCTTTGCTATTGCAAAACAGAGCTGTGTAATCATGCCAAAAAATGTTCCAAAGTGCCGTTATGTTGTCTTACTGTCCTATATTGCTGAAATCACAGTTAATTCTAACACAGAGAATCCAAAGAGAAAGCTCAAGAACGAGAGGTCCTCAACTGTTTTTACTCATAAGAAACAGACTGATAATTTTGAAAGATTAAAATATTTAATTGCTTTTATTTCAGAAGGAAATAGCAAGTCACAAAGGTGTTTGGTTCAAATGATGCTAGTTTTATTTTCAGAGTAGATTTTTTTGTCTGAGATTGCTTGAAAACACTCACAGATGCTTTAGTTCATCCTTCAGACATTCTCATGGACAGGAAAACAGAAATTTAAGCTGAGGAGATAAAACACCTTAAAAAGTATAAAGAGGCAATCGTGGAAGTTCAACAATTCTTCCAGAATAAACTCCACTACTCTATGTTAAAGATAATATTTACATTTTGGTGTAGTAACAGTATTTTAGAAAGCTTTTTTTTGAAGGTCAAAAAGCATCAGTATACATTTTATTCACAGAATCACAGATGCTACCACACCTCATGCCAGTGATGTGATGGATTGAGCCAATCCATGATGGACATTTTATTTCTGTTTTTTTATAAAATGTTGAGGGAGTTCAGTGAAGACTTGGCAATGGCAAGGACAATAAATTTTCCCTTGCTAGTCAGATATATTCAGGAAACAAAAGCTAACAACCTAATAATGTCTTATATGTTGCAGTTGTCTAACTGCAAACTTTTAGTTTCTGAAGACAGGTCTCAGCAAAGTTGTACTGACTTGAAAGAAATTTTGCAACAGCTGTGTGTCACTTTCATTGCACTGCAGAATGGGAACTCTTAATCTGGATATTTTAATGTTAGAACGAACTGTCAATTCAGTCGTGCTGTAGAATACCAGGAGACCAAAGAACTTTCCTTGTATCTATCCTGTTTGGATCATATAAAATTTGGATGAGACCTGTTTATCATGTGTCAGAATATGGTGAGAATCCTGGGCAGGTTAGGGATCTAGACAAATTCTCCTCATACCTTAAGCATCTCCCTTTCGTATGTTTTCTTCAAGGAACTGGTCCATTAGAAAGGCGTAAGGGTTTTGTGAGATTTAATGGTGATAAAGGAACGCTGAGACTGTTAAGGTTAAGAATCTTAGATGCCATATATAATACAAATAGGATGTATTCTATAATCCTTTAACCTTTAGTTTTCAATTGAATTCTATGTTAGGATGCTCAATGCAGAGGTAGCTTCTCAGGCCTTTGCTTTATATGCTGTCATCCCCACAAAGTCATTTGTTTTAAGAGAAACAATGGAGAGGACAGAGATAAGCTGAATATGTAGCATTCTTGTATCTAAGTGATCACTGTTTGGAGTGTTAAGCCTTAACAATGACCTGTCAAAGACCTGTCAGATTTCATAGCATCCTCTCAAAAAAAAAAAAAAGGTAAAGTATTAAAGTATTAAAACAGAGCTTCTTGGTCACTAACTTACCAAATAGATATTGCATTTGTTCTGAAGACTTCCTTTTGACTTATTAGCAAGTATCAGAAGTGCAAGAGGGTCTCCTTAACAATAAATTCAATAAATTCAGTAAATAAGTACAAAGATAGCGAATTGAAAATATGTCATTTTGCCTCTACATGCTCTAAAAGTGAGCATTTCACTGGCACCATATATCCCTTCCAATATCAGATGTGATGCACTGAAACCATAGTATTCCTGCAGGTGCCAAAAGTGCTTAATTCAGTCAAATTATCTTAACATCAGAGGATTATCTGATCTGAATTTGAATTTACAGTTCTGGGCAGCAGTAATAAAATCCTTACTGAGCTGTTGTGTTTGAGTTTTAAGGAAGACAAAAGAATAAGTGCATTTCCTTCTGCATATCTCAATTAAATAATGTGTTTATGGTTTGTCATAAAAGAGTTTGACTTTTTATTTGGATGTCCATTTTCTTTGAAAGGTCGGGGTTCATGTTTTTTGTAACAATTTGCTCTAGTTTTTAGTGTTTAGAAGAGGTCATGAAAGATGTCTCTTCAGATGGAAATATTTTTTAGGCCTTCCATGTATTAGACACAAAAAGAGAATGCTCAAAAGTAAACTTCCCACCTATTAAAGAATAGGATATTATGCATCCAAGTGTTTTTGGCATTAAATTATCACACACTTTTTTCCATCTTGCATTCTATATTGTCTTTTCTCTAATCAGGAAGCTGAGTGAAATACATATATATATAAATCAGCATAAATGATTGGGAATCAGAACTGGTTTCCAGTGCAAGATGCTGTGGACAGTATAAACTTACAGGACAGTACACAAGTAGGCTGGAAATCAAGAGAGTTGTGTATTTGTAGCCAGGAAGCTACTGTTAAAATAAACATCTTTTGTTACAATTATGTGGAAAAAAAGGAAGTATGTTAATCATATTGTTTAGACCAGGGCTATCTCTATAATTCTTAGTCAAATAAGTTGTTCTTTCTTCAGTGGATAGTTCTGGTAATTTAAACAGAAAAATTAATATGAGTAGTATTTGCAGTACACGAATTTCAAAGAATTTGACATAGCATTATTAAACAGCTATACATGACAAATTTTTCTGTGTTTCCTTAACTTTCTTTGTAATGCTCTGGTTGAGCTTCTTCAGTGAATCTCTTTACTGTTTTACAGGGGAGTAAAAAGATGCTTTTTATTGCTGCATACACAATTGAAAATGCATTGACTAAAGTAATGTTGGAGTAACCTATAAAATCCATGTCGGCAATTGAGAAAAACATACGGCAAAGTGGTAGCAGGTGACGAAAAGATAATAATGATTTGAGATTTGAAGAA